TTTTACAAATCCCCGTTCACATTCTCCTCCCCTGTTTCTTGGTCACCACGACCGGAGTTCTTTATTCAAATTTCATTCAATTGTTGCGCACCGGTATGTCATTACAGATTTATAAAAAAAAAAAAAAAATTAAAAACTCACCGGAACATCTTCAGAGCTTTTTTCCTATTGAGCGCTTTAAAAGGATTAACGAGCACAACCGTTAACCTTTGTTGGGATTTTAAAAAGAACAAAATGAAATTTAATCACATCGCCACGATGACAAATCTAGAAGATTTGAAAACGTATAGATGTACACACATATATACATATAAACTATACATATACGTTCAACAAAAATAATAGGATTTTATTTCCACGGTTTTAGCTACAAAGAGACAGTTTTTAAATTTAATTACATTATATTCGGCCACTATAGCAGTAATGCTATGTATACATATATCTATAATCGTTTTTTCATTACAGCGGCTTTTCTTAACAATAAAAATTTTTTCTAAATTCACTATTCAAGCAATTGTTTCTTTTTTTTACTTGTATAATACCATGCTAATAGATTTTTTTTTCTGTATTTAAGACCAAATTCGGTAATCGTTTCGCATATATATAGGTACCTAGTAGAATTAGTTGTGTGACTAACAGTTGTCAACAGCTAGCCAAACCTAGGAATTCTATTAATTCAAATTTCCTATAGGGAATTCAAACTATATACCTACATAATAAAATACTAAAATGGATAGATGGTTGGAATTTCTGGCTTTATACGTTAGTATGGTCCACATGTTATAAACTTTTATAGTTAGAAATCGAACAGTTGGCATAATATAACTACTAAATCACGGGTTGAATCGTTATATTGAACTCAAAAACAGCACGTTATAAGACGAGAGGAATAATACTGCCATCAACTTGCCATTGCAACGAAGCAGGAGGTAGGGGTCTTTTGTACGTTTGTATGCGGTTTTTATGCAATAATTTCATTCCCATGACAAAACCCAATTTCGGATAATACCACATTATAATATATACCACCCAACGAGAGCGTTTCACCACAACGTTATACCTTACAAGACACGTAATACAACACATGTTTTGTTGTCATAACCACTACGTATAAAAGTTATTGCACATCTTCACCACGTGGTTGTAAAATCGTCGCAATGCAGATAACACCGTTATACGTGGATAATTTACGCACTCGACCATAGTTTGGCCGATTCCAATAATATTTATAAGATATTTAACTATTTATATGAAAATAGTTATAATATATCTATAGGTATATTTATATCTCACCTCTTAAGCCATATCCATAGTGATTTGCATGATAACAAGTTGATCAATTCGACATAACTCGATATTAAGAGGAAATTGAAGTCGATGTCCGTATACAGGTGAACAGGAATGATAATGGAATTTAATGGTAAATTTTTATTTTTAGCGACAATCGATATTATCGAAATTCTACTGATTTGTCTAAGTACTTCACTTCATAGCCCACTTGTAAATGGCTACGCCTTAGAGTATTATTATATGGGCTACCCACATCAATAATCATAAAAAAGTGAATATCTAATTATACATACACGTATTTTTACCTAATCCATATATGATATACACTAAGGACTATACCTATTATGTCAATTGTTTATCTCTACTGATGTTTATTGTATTAACATGTGAAGACGGTTAGAATTTTTTTTTAAATTTATCATAGAAATCATACAAATGAGATACATAAAAACGATGAGATCTAAATAATTAAATATTTAAACGCATTCTTATTTATACGTATAATCGTTACGTGTTAACCACATTACATATTCAAAAAATCGGAAGATGTTTTAGATGCTATCTAGATGTACGTGTATATTTATATATATAAAGTTTATACACTACTGGCACATGTTCAGCAATATTTTAATTCCCAAAGTTCACCATTTTTGAGAAATGAAAAGCACCGGAAACGCGCGACGAAAAAAACAAGACGTTACTTGAGGGAATTCCTCGCGTTATAATACACATTTATTATATTTCTTACCTCGAATCAGTATATTATATTTCTGTGAAAAAAAATAAGAAATATGTGTTTCAATTTGGGTTTTGCTGGAGAAGGAAAAAACCATTTAAACACAAAAATATGAGGTCGTTTGATACTGTCATAGGTATATTTTTGAACGTGACAAAAGTTAAATATCCTTAAAAAAATATCGTGGACTTCCTTGGGGAATCAATTCACGTTCGTTGTTCTAAAAAAATGTAAGGTATTATTAATTATTCGTATTATGATGATGATCAATTTTTATTCACCAAAAAATTTCCATAAACTGTCTTATGGAGTATTAAAAAATATTTACTTTATCTGCGAGTAATACGTTTATAAGACATATATTTTTCAATAAATCTAGTAATGACAGCAATTGTATCCATCATTAGACACACATGCTCGTTTGTATGTGTAATTTGTAATCCCGAATAATATTCAGTAATTTTAGTGTAAGTGAAAAAAATATCATTGTTATAAAAACTAGCAAATTATAGAAACGATTTTTTTTTTTCAACACGTATGGACCAAACATTTAAGGTCGTTTTTGATTGTACGCTCGATTTCGATAAATCGATAATTTATCAGTGATAAAAAAATATAAAAATTCCTATTCCCTACATATAACCTATGACGTAGCGTTCATAGTTCATATACCTAGTCAATATTTATAACGAACTGCTGTCAATGGTGATATCAGTAAATGGTTCATATTAGAGGCGGATGGCCTTTAAGCGAAACCGTTGATTAAAAGCATATATTATATTATTACTACATGAGTAAACCATACGTATAATTCAAATAAAATATCTTTGGCTATCGTTGCCGACACGATAAATGTAAATTTGCCTTTTGATCCAGCGTGCAAATCCAAAACAATCGATGTGCGTTCAGACGGAAGATAGGGTTAAAAACGAAAACTACAGCCACACACACAACACATAAGGTCACGGCATTTTAATATAATTAATATAATTTTAATTGTTATTATTATTATTATTATGAATTAAGGTGTTTTAAAAAAAACTTTACACTGATTTCAAGCATGTTGATTTATTATGAGAATATTAGAAGAAAAAAATTGGCTCTTTTATTGATTTAATAATATAATCAAAGTATCTTACAAGTTAAATATATAATTGCTTACGAGCTACTATTTGGATCACTGTACGACTTTTAGTCGTTAAAGTTGTTTTTAGGAGAATTAAAGCAATATATAAATATATGCCGAGAGTGTTAGCAACCATGAGTGATATTTAACTGAAAATCTCAATCGATTTCGTTAATTCTATCTATTGTCACGATTATCGCAATCACTAGCTACTTCACATTTTATTTATTCGAGCATTGGGAATGGCGTGAGATTTTATAGCGGCCAAAAAAACAAATATGAATCATTCTGATGTTTAGATCAAACACTGCTGGTTTCAATATTTTAATTGAAAATCGTAAAACCTATGAATACAACACGATCACATTTTTGAGCCGTAAACCGTGGACTCCTAAGCAAAATGTTTTTTTCTGCGTATGTAATATAGTGTCATCGTAAAAACTCAAAGGTTAAAGAAAATAATAACTACTTGATATATATACGACACGTAGTATTGTCTTTTCATATTGGAATCAACGCAAATATCGCTTATTGAGTTACTTTTGGAAAAGAGTTGATCCAGGAACCACTACGTCCAGGCGTGGATACAAGTTGCGAGCAGGTTTATTGTGGATTATAACGAATTTTACCTCATTACTGCTCGAAATGATCGGAAAACGGGAAGTTATCCGAGTCGAAGAAATATCTTGCGCTTCGTACGCAGGACGTGATTCGTAACGAGATCGCAAAATAATCTTATCGGATTACGTACACGTTAAGCGATAACTGTCAGATTTTCGAGTGTTTGATTAATTAATCTGCGGGGGCACTACAGAAAAGACTAGCAACGTCCATGGTAGATCGTCACCGTGAGACGTTATACAATACTGTTAGAAACTAGACCGAGGCGGAATATAAAGCGTAGGTATACAGTGTTTTCGAATCGAGTTTCCGTCAACTTATCGGCTTAATATTCGACCACGTATGTAGAACATCTAGTACGTGACGTCGGCGCCAACTCGGCTCTTCCTACGCCTCCGCCATCGGCGTCAAACTTTGTGTGTACCAGTAATATAACCACTACGTATGTATACAAAGTGTTATATATACACTTATATTACATATAGTGATCTACTGATTGATGTATATATATATAAGAACATGTGATAGCACACGACTGCGGATTATAGTTGCGATGTACATGTATGTGTATGATTTACATATATAGATACCATAAGATACCATAAAAAAAAAACATTATTTTACGTGTATCTTTCGAAAAAGATATTTAAATTTGTTATAATACGTTTCAACGCATTGTTTTATACCAGTAGACACAATGCGATTTTCCTTGAACGAAATACGAACTTTATACACGAGACTCCTGTATAAAATTATATGATAGTATTTCCTAAACAACAAGCAGTCTTGTCAACTAGCTGAGGAGTTCAACGTATTTCCAAAAAATTATGATTCGTCGTGTTTACTAAGCACGTATTGATGTATCGATGCGACTCGCGAGTTGTGAGATATAATTTACTGATTACAACACTCCAAATCAACACTTAACCTACTGAATTTTTTTTTACCTGCAGTAAAACCGTAGACCGAGTTCGGTTCTACTGCAAACGTCACCGTATTTCATAAAATTTATTTATGAACAAGTGAAACAATTTACACGAAATACCATAATGGGTGTTTACAGCAGCCTCACGCAGCTGCACTCACATTTTGGACGATTTCCAACAGAGTCGATAAAAAAAAAAAAAGTGAAAACCCCGTTAATGATGTATATATTTATATATATATATAACACATGGTAAAAAAGTCTGCAGATAATTCTAAACGTATATACGTATAAATACTTACGCAGTTGTGTTCGCAAATGTTCTTCATGTTCTTGCCTTCAGTCTGCAGTACTTCGCAATATTTCCAACACTGTAACAAAAACGAAAGAATCGATACATTAGTACAATACGATGAACGAGTGTATTACGTGCAGCGGGGGGGAGACGAAAGCCACCACCGTTGACGAGTGGACATTTATTAATACTGCCAAGGGAAGGTGGGGGCTGATTTTATTTACTCGCCAAAAATCTTAGTTTTTTCCCGGACTCGGGTACATGATGGTTGATGGGTGGGGGGGAGAAATTTTGACGGTTTGGTAGAGGGCAAGAGCTCGAGTATATCGTTAACAATACAAAGTCCACCACACCCTCGAAAAAATATCTTTACGAGTGCATGACAAAAAGAAAAAAAGAAACTTCTCCGTACGGAAGACGACCCCATTTGCGCCACGCAGCGTGTACGCGCGTGGACGCCTTTAAAGAAGACGTGCAGAGACGTGGATTTGAAACGGGGACTGGTAGATGATGTCTGGAGGGAAGAGTGCGCAGTCGGGAAACGCCAGTGGCCGAAAAAAGATAAATTGCTCTATTGGGAAAACCGGTCACGTACTTGGGACGATAGTCGAGAGGGGCCGGAGGAAAATCGCGAGTGCGTCATTATTGCTTTTTTCCCCACCCCCTGTCTTACTGCAGCATCCACCTCGGGGCGTCATCTTCAGCATATATATATATATATATATATATATATATATGTGTATGTGTGTATGTATGTGTGTAAGTGTGTGTAACACGATGGTATACACATTGGAGAACAAAACGCACGTGGTTATGATTTTCGCGTGATATTTACAATTCAACGGTCCACGTGTTCTTTAACCGACCGGAAAATAGTAACCGGACGTGGTGACGAATGCGTCATCGTCCTCGGCACCAGTAAAATATGTGAACAACATAGTAGGCAAACTACGAATAAACGTTTTTTTTTTTTTTATTTTTTTATTTTTTTTTTTGCGCATGCATACTATAATACAGGTGTTCATAGTGTTCATCACCCGATATACGAGACTACATTTTTTACCCTTTAGTTTTTATGGTTGAAGAAATCGCTCCCATACACTTTACGTTAAATCGGGAGTAAGCCAAAATCAACCGAATCGATGACGAAATTATGACGTGATATTATGTACGAAAACAAAGAGTGGTGACAATAATACTGTTGTACACAATGTGAATACTTCAAATAAGCTCTGTATGTTTTATTATACTTGCTATTATATGTATAAAGAGAAGCGGACATTTCTATGACGACGAGAAATTGATTTTGGGTCATCGCTTGTAGAGTAAATTCCGTATACAACTAACAGTAGTGCAACGTAATGTAAAAAAAATAAAGAGAAACAACCGTCTAAACATACTTTAGTCTTTATTTATCCGTCCGAACAACAACGGCGACAACATCATTATTTTTTTCAAACATACGCGCGTACGTCGTCGTCACTAAACAATAGACCGATGACTGATGACGAGAAACTAATTATTTTCGAAAAATTAATAAACGATTGATTTTGTCTTTAATTTTCGATATATATTCAAAGAGCCATACATCAGTGGATTCCGTACAATATTCGTCGACACGAGTTTTGCCAGACCAATAATAGCTTCGTACTTATGAATTATCATACAAATACATATATATTTTTAAATTTTCATTATCCTACGCGCTCAACTCCACCAAGGCTTTCCCACTGTCCGTGGCAATCGTAATCTTAACACAGCCACCGTGGCCGATTATTAAGCGAAGCAAAATGCCCGACGGTTAGTTAATCATTTTCTACTTTTCGGTCATGTACGTACCTAGTGCGTTTATATTATACATATACTTGCAGTTAAGAATTATTAAAAAAAGAAAAGAATGGTGAGGAAGACGTGGGTGAAAATATATGTACAAGCAGAACCAGCTAACGGAGTGGGAGGGAATTAATATTATTACCCGGTAGCCCCGCCGCCAGCATATATAGTTAGGTACTATTATAGGTGTACGTACTTAGTCTGCGCGCACTTTACAGCTATTTATACGTATAAGAGCAGTAGTAATAGTAAAAATAATGGCATCGTATCAATCACTATAGTTAGTGGTCGTCAAATCGTTACACTCGCAGCAGCATACAAGTCGTAGTCGCCGTTTAAGATATTATGTTAATGAGAAACTTCCTAACCGCTGGTGGGGCTCGGAATCTGTTTTGTTATTTGCATTCGTTTTATGCACACGTTCACGGCCGCGTCTATTATTGCTATCACCACAAAAGCGGAAGATCCGCGTGTGCAATATCATAATATAATAGAATTTGATTATCGTGCATTGGACCCCGTCCGTTTTAACGCAATCTTCGTTCCGTGTACCGGACACAACCATTAATACTATTATAATTTACAAAATACATATTATAATAAAAAAATAAAGACTATCAATATTCAATACAGCAATATAGGGGTGCTAAGGTGCACGTTATACGTGTCGTATGTAGAAGATATACTATTAAATCCTCAGCTATAAAGGAACGATTGTCATGAACTACGCAAAAACAATGCTCACAAATTAATAAGGAGCACTAAATATTTGATTATAACAACAAAGTACAAAACTAGCTTTGACAGTAAAGCTACAGGACCGACAATCGAGAGATGTGCCGACAACTGATTACTCCCCGACTGCTAATTTCCGGTTGGTCATGAGATAGAGCCGACCCAACGGATCAATCGGGCCAACCTTATGGATTAAACAATACTTATACATCAACGATTCTCAAACTGTGGTACGCCTATCACTAATGGTACGCGAAAGGCCAGGTGGTGGTAAAACGGAAATTAAAAATTCAATATTTAACTCATATATTAATTTAAAATCACTAATACATTTGTATTAATATATAAGTAATATTTTTATTTTAGTATTTTACTGCCTTTTTATTTAAAATAAATGTATTTAACTATGTGAAGTTTGTATGATTCTATTTTTAATCATTAATAATACGTGATTAATTGATTGATAATATACTCAAGTGATACGCGAAAAAAAAGTTTGAGAACCGCTGCTATACATCATAATACGCGACTTCGGACGGAAGCTGTTGCGGTCTTATTCGTCGCAAGTAACGCGAGTCACGCGTATCATATACACACCCCGCTGGTAGTATTGTATACGGACTTGAAAAAAATTCTCTATAGATCTTTGAATCAAAACTTTTTGAATTCCTAATCGTGCAAATAGTAAGATATACTCAGTTATTTTCGCAAAGAAATGTATTTAGAGAGTAAAAAAAGACAAAAATATTATCGCATACATAAAATGAGATTTTTATCCTTCGACAAGTTTTGTTTGTCCGTTTTGAATATATAGTCCATAGAGTAAATGCAGTTATACAGACGTACTTCTTAAACTCGTAGAACGACTGGGCTGTGAAGCTCCCTTGCGGGTTTTCGTGTGTTTGTAACGCGATAACAAGCTTGGTCTCGGATATTGTTGAACGAAACTTAAAACGCGCTCATGCAGTCTTATAACTGTGGCTGATTCTGACGAGGAAATGATAGCGGGGTGAATACGACCGCTTTCAAAATGGAAGTGACATTTCAACATCAACAAAGCACGAGTAAATTCAGTTAGGAAAGTATGGAGTAGTGTTTGTGTATATGTATATCTCCGAGTACACATACACAGTATATGTACACAATATATAATTGCATCTTCTTATGTGCTATTTTTAATTTTTTTCTTAACTATATTCAACGAGAATTAATTATGTATTCTAAACGGAATCCGCAATAGTTATAGGTAAAACGATTAGATGAAAAAAATATAGTTATGGAAAAGATTAAATTAAAAGGTAAGCGATAGAATTTAGTTACATTTTCTTTTTTTTGTTTGCTTTATTTATTGTGAGCAGCGCATGTTTGGGATCATGTTCGTTTGACTGGACAGCTTTTTCGGAAAGGGGGAAAAATATTAAAAACGTCTCCTCTTCGAAAAAATGAATTCCTTTGCCGGGTAACAAGTGTAAAGCATCTGTGGCGTCTGATTTTTTTTTTTTACATATACATAAATAGTATATCACTAGTCGACAGCCCACAATGTTATACTTCATATTATATGTGTGCATTACTCTCACAAGAATAAAATAAAAAAAATTACTACACTTCGGATGTTTAAGAAACGATCGCACATAAATATACACCAAGAAGAAAAATATATAAAATAATATCGTTATATATTGTACATATTATGTTGGCTGACAATGATGTATTAAAATTACATTGTTATGTTGTTGCTTATGCGGGAAACTACTGTTCCGTTTAGAATATCCTGTATGCCCGCTACTCGAGGTAAGTCTAACTGCAATACTAGATCAGCTGATATAAACTTCCCGTATAAAAATTAAAACACATATACGTTTTCAATTAAAAGTGCTTATAACTAAATCGTAACAACCTCTGTTTACAACAATACATACGAATATAACCCCTTGCACAGATTATTCCCGACAAAACGATGGTCGTCACTTCGTCAATTTAAAACCGAATAATAATAATAATAATAATAATAATGTACACGACGACGAACAAATAAAACAAAAAGTTCAAACGTCATATTATACCCGTACGGATACATTATGAATCGTACATTATACGTGTAAATTATTGTGGCGTCACGATGACACAATGGTTTCGAAACGCGCATATCGTTAACTACGTTAAGAGATTATAATATTTTCAGACGTGTGTTAGCGTTATGATAATTAATTGTTTTGTCTAACATGGGCGCGAGAGATAGAAGAGAAATAAACGGTATACGCATGTGAGTATAATGGAAAAAAAAAATCACCTGTCCCCCCGTCGATGTTATCGGTGACTGCCCGTAAAAGGTGTTGTTGAAGTGAGAAAAAAAATATACACACATAAATACGTCGATAAATGGAAACGATTTTTCTCCTCGTAGTCGTTATTATTATTATTATTATTATTATAACAAAATTTTATTTCTGGTCTAACGGCCTCGTAGGTTTGGGTGTTGATGTCAACTAACATTTAAAGTTATCG